AATAGAGAATGATATTCTAGAAACGCCAGACGAATTCGACAATGAGTATCTATAGTCTTGCAAATATCACATTCAAGAAAGTTCGAAATTCCATATTCGATTTTCTAATTAGAAAACTGCAACTATATTTATATGAATATTACTAGAATATCGAACTCGATTTCACATTGTGAATATTTTCCAGACAATAGAATGTGTGTTATCACTTTTCACTTTTCCAATAAATTGTTCTTTCACCCTGTACCAATTTTATTTATAGCCTTAACTCTGCTTATAGATCAAAAGCGAATATTTAAATTTTAAAAAATCAAGCACTACTAAAGATATTATGCGTTGAAAATATGAAAACGAAAGCAGAATCATCTTATAAAAATTTTTCACACGCATATTGAAAGAAGACTTTGATTTTCTACAAACAGTAGGGCCTCATAGACATTAGGGAATTACTTCTATGTGCTTAATTAAATATACAGAGATACTAGCAGTAGTATATTTGCATAAAATGAATACTTTTGTTATAAGAAAAATGTTTCAAAGTGAACAATGCATTTTGAACGCAAGGAACGATACATGGGTGGCAGCGTACAGTTCAAAAACAACCAAAACGAGAAATATCGAAAATATTTTTTAGAAAAAGATTTATATTTACTATTTTTCCTGACCAATCACCAGTTATTATTTTTTCAAAATTTTCTAATTTCGTAAAAATGAAATTGTCATATTAATTCATCCTCAAAGACAGAGAAAATATGTTTATAAATAGTTGAAAAAAGAATACTGTTATTTCAATTATCTGCAGCGCATTGTTACGTAAAATGAGAATGATCAAAAGAATAATAAAGTCATGATTATGACGAATGGCATAGATACAGGAAAAAAATGTTATGGAAGATACTTATCAATACACCAGACAATAATTATAATGAGAAAAGTTTACTGATTTACAATCTGCAATTTACCAGAGTAGACCGCTGGAGTTACCAGTAAATGGATCAAATTAATGAATGACTTCTATGCACGTCCTGAAATAAAAACATAAATCAGCTTTTTTGTATAGAAATAAACGTAAATTGAAAAAAAGTCAAAAACTGTTCTCAGGACACAAAATTGACCACATTATTATCTATTTCAGACGGGTAAACGGTGTAGAAATCATCATCGAACAGTTATGTTCTTTCACCTGGATTCGAACTACTACATAATTGAAATTACCATTCGACTAAATGTTTTTCTTCGTTTTTGAGTGTGTTATGTTCATCAGTAGTATTCATTAGTAATGATCATCACAGCTTTTTATTAGCTTAATTAAAAATCTAATTATCACTATACTCATATCATGTGTGTACTCAATCGAATTAAATAATCTAAAAACATATTAAAAAAATCTTACATTCATTTATTATTAAAAATTGTTTCTTCTAGAAGCAAACTCAAAGCCAAATGAATAATATCTGCTTATTATGAGTAGGATGTAGCTGTTCCTGTGAGGTGCGGCTGGTAGATCGGCCCAATTCGGTCGGTCTAAAAATTGGTCTAGACTGATAAAAACCGGCGATTATACAGAGTTTTTTCAGGTGATAAAACTGATAGATATTATAACCGAAATTTCTTCTGAATATCTACAAGTTTCTATGTTTGCCTTTTCTTGAATATTTGTTTTATAAAGAGCGTTACTTTCAACTCGCTTATAAGGCTCTTGATAAAAAGAATAGGAGCCAATCCATGATCGTAGTCGGTCGAGAATTTTGCAACTCGGTCTAGTCGATTGCAAATTTTAGACCAATAGAAACTAGCGAAAAGTAGCCAATTGGTAGGGTTATTATTAATCGTTAATGAACACAGCTTTAAAAAACATTTACTTTACTTTTTTTTGCTCAAGTTTCTACAAAGTTCCGAGAAGAAATATCATGTTCTAGTCATTTATATCTACTAAGTTGCTCCAAAATGAGTATGTGAGATAACAATACATGGCGCAAAAAAATTACTTACTCATAAGGTGATCGCGACACTCCAAATTTTGAATTTTTGCACTTAATCTTTACAGATAAACCTTAATTTGATCTTCAACAAAATATGCAAGTAGTAAGCTCAGCCCAAGTACCACAAATTTGATTGTACTTTTTAAAAATACAGTGCACTTCGGTGACAGAAATGAAACTGTGTCGACGAACAGAAAAAAATAATACATCATTTTTGACACAACACTGGTTGATTATTTTGATAAAAGCAAGCAAACTTATTCTACAGAATTTTGGTCACAAAAAACTGCATATCGGCAAAATGTTTTCATCATTAAAAACTTAACGAGTCGGATCAGTTACAACTCTGCTATGACTATGAGACAAGAGTGTGCTGTGGGTTACTTGATTTCTGTGGGATTCGTAAATGAAGTTGCATTTTTGAGAATTTCAGGAATTCAGAACTGATTACTTAGTCTAAAATGAATTCATTTTTTTTTGTATTATAGAACACGAAGTGTCATATCTTTGCAGCATCACATGAAGATCTTTATGATTAGATGAATTTCTTTTAATTCAGACTATGTTACGTAGTCAAGTTTTAATGAGTAATGAATAATCCTGAGATAATAACTGCTTCTATAAATTCTTTCCGAAGTTCTCAATTGTTTTTCGTAACATTGTTTTATGACGACTTCTGTTACCGAAAAATCTGTTTTAGCGTTGGAACGCTTTCATTCATAATATCATGAATGACTTCGGATAAACGAAAACCTAGGTCATTTTAACATGAACCATGTAGAAATCGATAATCAAATTCAAGTGAGAAATTAGCAGCTGATCTCACGATTTGTTCTTAAAATGTCAAACAAATATTTTTCATTTGTAGATACATATTTAATTCCTTCTATCTTCCATAATGTTTCCTTGAAATTGTTATTTTTTATTATCGTCATTTTGTTGTTCTACCTGAAGAAATTTTCAAATAATTCTTTCTCCTTTTTCAAAACTAATACACAAGATGTAAATATATTAAATCTATAGTAAATACCGGCAAATACATTGTACAAGCCAAAGAATTACAATAAATCAATTTTCATGAACATTTTACAAATTAAAATATTCATTATAAATTACTGATAAAACATTCCATAGCATGCATACTTCAATGATTTTACTTAGATTTTTTCGATAATATAATATGGTACTCATGGATAATGATATTGAAATATTTAAAAATGCAGCAGAGATATTTTCATCATCATTAAAAAAATAATCTATATGTTTGCAATAATTTTATTGGTAAAAATCTTTAAATTTATTTGTTTGAATCGAGCAAGCTAATAATACCATGGAAAGAGTTGAACTACTAGTGATCACTATGGGCGATAATCGTACGTAGCATACAAAAGGGAGCAAGACATGTATTCAGTGTTTTTTAGATTTTATGGATTATTCAGCAAAATCTTTAGATAATAAGTCTTAGTGAAATTATTTTCACATGCTCGTCTATAATTTGTTTTTATTATTGACTCGAATATTTGATCCTAGAAGCAATCAGACATGAATCATTGTTCGCTCTTTAGTTGAATTCTAACAACACAATTTAATTCACAGATCAGTCTACAGTTAGCACAATATTTCTCTTTTATGACAGTACAATTGAAAATATTCTGTAAACATATGAAACTTGAATATTCTTCAACAGCAATGTCAATCACTAAAATCAATAACAATCAGCATTTTTCTAAACACTCTATGCTAATTCTACTAATTTCTCATCTGATTAGCTGCCCAAACTTGAAACCTTTCAACTTGTTTTTTTGTTAACTTTTGAGAAGATATTTATTGCCCATAAAGATAAATACTAATGCATTTGAAGGAAATTATCATGCACATAAAGGTAGAAAATGAGTAAGAGAAGATGATAGAATCGATATTGCACAAAAATAGAATAAAATCATGAGCATGACGCATCTCTATTGCGTCGTCGAACCATGTTGTGAGAGAAAAGATACTTTCTTTGTAAACATAAACATATCGTAGTTGGAAAAAAAATTATCACTTCCTTTCAATGATGTATGCGTCACATAGTCGATCATTGCACCTATTTAAATATCATCACTCACTCTACTAGTCTCATTTTAAGTGGTAAGTGCAGTCATGTGAAGAGATGATAGTAATTGCTTCCTTTTTGCTTTCGTTACTCATTATCACATGAGCAAAAATCAATATTTTATTTTCGATTTCATAAGCAAGTCTTATCTAAGTAGTATTATTTTCAAGAATGAAATTAATTTTAGTAATTCTATAATATTTCTACTGAACTACTACGTGTCGTACAAATGAAATAAATATTTGTTCAAAATGCTTGAGTCTCTGATTATCGCACATCTACATATTTCTTTCTAAAATTTTGTTTATCAAATATGTACCCTTGGATGAAAATAGTTTCTGATGTTTTCTTAAATATGTCATCATTATAAAATTATATTTTTAGAAAATTGATTACATAGTATTGCAGATCAGTCTTGAAAGACTGGGAACAGTCGACTCCTAGCAAATGAATTCTACTAATTATTTCTTTGATAGATTTCTTACTTTTGTGAATCATTTCTGAGCAGCGGTACTAAGTCAACAATATGACAGAATATTTCGAGTGAAAATTTTTTCGGAAATCAATGTAATCCACCAATGCTCATGGCACATGGAGTGACCTAAACACCTTCATCTTTTTTGCCTTATAAAAATTTTCAGTTTTTTTTCATTATTTCAAGATTTAAAGTTAATTATATTCGTATTCAAGTGTCTTTTTGACATTTCTATTCAACAGCTACTTTAGTAATTTTATCATTCATTGCAACATATTCTATTCTCTTAAAAAAATTATTAGAAATAATGAACAGAACTAATAATAAAGAAGATATCACTTTGATTTGGTTCGACTCAAAGATCGATTGTAATAATCATATAGAACAAATAATTGAACAACTACATCAAATCAATGATTATGTTGTATTCTATACTCAATTCGAATCTTGTATGACATTCATTCAATCGATTCATAATGAAAAAATCATCTTCATTTCTTCAATATATGATATATCACAAATATTATCTCATATTACAAAACTATCTCAAATTGATAGCATATTTGTCTTCAACTGGGAAAAACTTGATCATGAACATTTAATATTTGAAGATGCAAAATTTATTGGTATTTATGAAGAAGTCGATTTATTGTGTTTGTCAATCCAAGAACAAATCGATTTTATCGATCAAAATTTAGAAACAATTAGTTTTTTCGATCAAGATGAACACTTAACAAAAGATTTATCTAAACAAACTGCTGATCTTTTTTGGTTTCAACTTTATCATGATATTCTCTTCGATCTAACACATGATGAAGAAGCCAAGCAGGAAATGATAGATGAATGTCGTTCTTATTATCGAGATAATATCAAAGAATTGAAAGTGATTGAGAAGTTTAAAAATGAATATCAATCAGAAGAAGCTCTTCAATGGTATTTGAGAAAATCATTTCTTTACAAAATCATCAAAAAAGCATTAAGAACCAAAGATTTCGATCAACTTTACACATTTCGATATTTTATGAAAGATATGACAAAAAATTTCGTTCGACAACATCAAAATATGGTTGAATCTGATGAAACAACATTATTTGCCTATCGAAGAATGAAGCTGACAAGTGACCAAATCGAAAAATTCAAAGAGAACGAAGGTAAACTTGTTTCAATCAATGGATTTTTTACAACAAATATTCTTCGTTCAACTGCATTCAACCAAACAATGAAATCTTCTAAACGAACTGATCTTATTTCTGTTCTCCTAGAAATTCAATGTGATCTTCAATATCTGAAGAACAGTATTATTCTTGATGATAGCATAGATTTCAGTGAATTTTCATGTAAAGAACAACAAAAAATTATCTTCGATTTAAATGTTACTTTTCGATTGAAGAGTGTAAAAATGAAGAAAGACATGTACTTGATTGAAATGAATGCATCAAATGATGGTCAGATTATTAAAGAAAAATATATTAAAGACTCACATCGTCAAATGGAAAGTCTAAGCATGAAAATTCTTTTTGGACGATTGATGTGTGATATGGGTCAATGGAATCAATCACAACATTTCTTTGAACATTTATTGAACAACTCCAATAATAACAATGAAGATATCACAAAGATTGAGTATAGTCTTGGTGAAGTTCTTCAATGGAAAGGAGAATGGAGTAAAGCACGCAAACATTATGATCTTGCTTATGATCGAATGACAAATATGAAACCAAGACGGATGAAAGATTCAGCTGACATACTCTTCAATATTGGTGAGATTCTTTATCTAGAAGGAAAGTATGAAGAAGCTCTTGATTATTATGAACGAGCATTTTCAATGCGGAAGGAATATTATGCCTCGATCAATACTGATAGACCTTATTCACCCACCCACCAACATAGCAGTTTACTAAGTCGAACTCGCTTGTTATTTTGGTCGGTTTTATTGAATTCAATTGGACTCTTCCAATCATATTTCCAATGGTTTAGCAATAGAAAATTTCAAGGAATTTTTCATTATTTCCGTTCCAAATATGTAACTAATAAAATGGGACTTGTGGACGGACAGTCGAACAGAACTCTGTTACAAGAACTGTGTCAAAACTTTCAGGGCGCCAGTTTGTTACAATGGGGCGACACTAGCCTGGATGGTCATGTGTCTCTAGCTAATAGTCTACGTAGCTTCGGCAAAATACTCTTTCAACAAGCCAAGCATGATGAGGCACTTATGTTTCACCAGCAAGCATTGGAAATGCTCGAAGAATATTATAAGTTTCCTCATATCGATATTGCTGTTAGCCTTGAGTGCATTGGCCAGGTTCTTACTGATCAAAATAATCTCCATAAAGCTCTCGATTTCTATCAACAAGCGACCTCAATCTATTCAAGATTTTATCCAAATGGTCATGTGTACACTGCCTCCACCCTTAATAATATCGGCTACATTCTCTACCGCGAAGGAAAGGTTGATGAAGCTCTGAAGTTTTGTGAACAAGCATTGGAAAAGCAATACAAGTATTATCCATCTGGTCATGTGGATATAGCTTATAGTCTTTGTGGAATAGGATGTGTTCACTATGGACAAGGAAAATATGATGAAGCTTTGTCATTTTTTCAACAAGGTCTAGAAACTTTTCAGAAATATTATCTTATCGGCCACACCGGCATTATTTGTATTCTAAACAGTATTGGCTATATACAAAGGGAACAAGGAAAGTATGATGAAGCTCTTGATTTTCATCAACAAGCACTAGCACTTCAAGAGAAATATTATCCATCTTATTATGCAAACATCGCTAATACTTTTAATTACATCTCTAATGTACTACATTGTCAATCAAAATATGATGAAGCTCTATGCTATTGTCAACGAGCATTGATAATGCAAGAGAGCTATTATCCTTCAGGTAATGCTTCGATAACCTCAAGTCTCAACAATATTGGCAAGATCCTATGTGATCAAGGAAAGTACAATGAAGCTCTTGATTTTCTTCAACGAGCACTAGCAATTGTTGAAAAACACAGGTCATTTGATGATTATTCTATTGCTCTTTCTATTAATGATATTGGCACTACATTGTGCAAACAAGAAAAATATGATGAAGCCCTTGAGTATCATCGACGAGCACTCGAAATACAAGAGAAATATTGCCCATCATGTCAACGTGAAATTGCCTGCACTCTTATCGACATCGGTAATGCTCTTATTGGCCAAGAAAAATACGATGAAACAATGAAATTTTATCAACGTGCGCTTGACATGCAAAAGAAGTATTATCCAAATGGTCATGTGAACATGGCAATAACTCTCACTAATATTGGCACAACATTTCGTAAACAACAAAAATTCGATGAAGCGATTGAATATCATCAAAAAGCATTAGAAATTCAACAGAAATATTACTCATCAGACAATATCATCATAGCGGACACCATCAATCGTCTCGGTCATGTTCTGCATGATGAAAGAAAGTATGATGCAGCAATTGATTATTATCAAAGGACGCTTTCAATACAAGAAAACTTCTATCCTGATGATAACGTCAGAACTTCTTATACTCATAGCTTTATTGGTAACGCTCTATATGAACAAAAGAAGTACGATGAAGCCATTGAATTTTATCGAAAGGCCTTAGCTATTCAAGAAAAACATTATGAATTAGCACATGTCGACATCGCGAAAAATTTGAATTCTATTGGTGTTGCCCTATATAGCCAAGAGAAATATAATGAAGCCATTGACTTTTATCAACGATCATTAACTATTCGAGAAAACTTCCATTCATCTAATTATGCTGGTATCGCTACTGTTCTGAGCAATATTGGGAAAACCTTGTATTGGCAAAGAAAGTATGATGAAGCTATTGACTTCCATCAACGAGCACTTATACTTCGAGAGAACTTTGATGCAACTAATCATGTTGGCATTGTTGATAGTCTGATAAATATCGCCAATGTTCTAAGAGATCAGGAAAAGTATAATGAAGCTATCGAGTTCCAACAACGAGCATTGATGATACGAGAAGAACATTATCCTTCTGATCATGTGAAAATTGCTTATAGTTTGGGTAACATCGCTATTATCCTGAGTAAACAAACAAAACATGATGAAGCTCTCGAGTTTCATCAACGAGCGTTGAAAATCTACGAAAAATGCTTTCCATCTAATCCTGCTGATATTGCTAATGGTCTCATCAATATTGCTGATATCCTGAGCACACAAGGAAAATACGAAGAAGCTATCAAGTTTCAACAAAGAGCATTAACAATTCGAGAAGAAAACTATTCCTCTTGTCATGAGAAAATTGCGGACAGTCTGAATCGCATTGGCGGAATTTGCATTGGTCAAAGAAAATACAACCTTGCTCTCGATTATTATCAACGAGCTCTAACAATTCTTGAAAACTACTATCCATCTGGTCATGTTGATATTGCTGTGAGTCTGCAACAAATCGGTATTATCCTGAGTGTGCTGGGAAATCATGATGAAGCTCTCGTTTTTCGTCAAAGAGCAATGACAATCTATCAACAATATTATCCTTCCAGTCATGCAATTCTTGCTAGTTGTCTGGCCAATATTGGTAATACATTAACTGAACAAGAAAAATATGATGAGGCTACCGATTTCTGTCAACGAGCAATAGCAATCTATGAGCAATGCTATCCATCTGGCCATGCAAACTTTGCCACTTGTCTGGCTTATATGGGTAATATATTGACAGATCAAGAAAAATATGATGAAGCCATCGATTTTTATTACCGAGCAATGACATTTTACAAGAAACATGCGCCCAATCATCCGGATACCGTTACTTGTCTTAGCAACATAGTTGAAGTTTTTAAAAGACAAGCAAAATATGATGAGGCTTTGGACTTTCAACAACAAGTATTGGTAATTCTCAAAAGTAAATTGCCTAGTGATCAACTCGAAATTGCTAGCAGTGTCAAGAACATTGGTAGTACTCTATTTCAGCAAAGAAAATATGATGAATCTCTCGACTATTATCAACAAGCATTAATCATATTCGAAGAATATTATCCCAATGATCATATTGAAATTGCTGGTTGCCTATACTGGATCGCTGCTAACTTCAATAGAAATTTTCAGTTTGGTCTCGCTATTGAATGTTTGGAAAGATGTTTATTAATTAAAGAAGCCAGTATAACTCCAAATGATCTCTCCATTACCATTCTACTTGAGTGTCTATCACAAGTACACACAACGAAAGGTCAGCATGAACTGTCTCTTATGTATGAACAGTATTGTTTCTTACTACGTCTCAAATCTCTACCACCAGATCATGAAGACATTGGCCATAGTTTATCGAATATAGGTGAGATTTACGAAAAACTTTATAAACCTACGTTGGCACTGGATTACTATCAACAAGCATTAACTATCTACAGGAAATGTCTGCCTTCCTGGCATGATGATCTATGGATGATGACATTGAATATTGAACGACTTTCGGAAGAACTCGGAATAGAACTTAATTCGTTAGATTAACTTTACACATGCAGTTGCTTTCGATTAAACAGGATTATTATCAGAGTAAAATGTTCATAGAAATATTTTGATAGAAATACACGGAACTATTGCATGTATCAATTATGCAAAGAAAAATCAAGTCATTTAGAGTGCATCATTCGTTCATCAATAATCTGTTAGAAATAAAATTAAGTATATATTTAGCTAGACCAAGTCTCATAGGAGTAATTGCAATTCGTGTGAGAATTAAATATCATTCTTTCAAGGCTGCATGTATATTGTATTGAACGCGCATTTGAAAAAAGTTTTGTCTGTATTTCAAATAAGCATTTAATTGTAATACTAAGTAATCAAAGTGAAGATTTGGGCCTTTACGTAAAGTTTCAAGAACGAAGTCTTTTTTCGGTAGATCGACAATTGATTCATAGAAATAATGTTATTGTGAATGAAGAAGAATGAATAATAGTACAATCAATGAATATTTTCATTTATGATGACATCATCTTGTTTACTGTTGACGTATCATAGTCATTAAAAATGCTGCTCGATATGTATGTCATATATCGAATGGCATCGTCTCGGCAATGGTTGAATCGTTTCGATATTGCATCGTGGATGACATTTTATAGGTAGACAAACAACATTCGGCATTATTCTTTCTCTTACTTTTGCCTTGTTACCGAGAGAAACTCACGGGGGAAGATCACGAACTGTTTAATAGTTTTGGCGTTTAGATTACATACATTATGTAGGCACAAATAAACTATGAATATCTTGAAAAAAGTTCTGGCAGCTGGCTTATTGCTACTGAGATATTGCACTTTTGCCAGTATGTTACTAAATGAATGCCGTGATCTCTCATAGAAAGACCAGAAAAAATGATTTTCGAATTTTGACTTAAAACTTTACATAGAAACAGGTCTTACCAAGAATAGATTTTTGTGAAAGTTTCAGATCTTGTTGCTGTTCCTATGTGTAGATACAACTATGGTTACTTCAATCCGAATTTAACCATAAGATTGGATGTTTTCATTTTACGATAGGACAGATCAAAAGATCTGAAACTTTCACAAAATACTATTCTTGGTGAGACCTGTTTCTTTGCAAAGTTTTCAGTCAAATTTCGAAAATCATGTTTTCTGATGTTCCTAAGGAGGACTACAGCATTCATGTAAAAACATACCGTAAAGTGTAGTATCTTCATAGCGATAAGGAAGGTGCCCGAGTTTTTTTCAGGATATTCATAGCTCATTTGTTTCTACATAATGTATATAATCTAAACGCAAAAGCGATTGAATAGTTGATGACCTTCTCTCGTAAGATGGATAGCATGTATTCTAGTCGAACCTCCAATACGATTTTCTAGAAACAGTCAGTGGAAAAAGGTTATTTTCATGCTTTTTCCTTTTTTCCTAAAAAAACCTTTTTCCGACGGTTAGAAAATTGAATAAAGGCACTTCCGAAATCAATATTAGAAAAACCTATAATATTTGATTCGATGCATATTCATCTCCTCTTTCCAACAGTGAAAATCGCAGTTCTTCATCTTGTTTCTATCAAAAGTTATTCAAAAAAAAAACATACTCATTAGCATTTATGGAATCGTGACACATGCGAACAAAACACATCTTATCGAAATTTTATTATTATGGCATTAGCCGAAGTATGATCAAATAGCACAGAAAAATAGAGCATTCTTTTCTCTATTAGACTATATAGAGAGAAAATTTCTTTACGCTTTTTATAAGGAATTAAAGTACTATTCTCACTATTTTTGGACTGCCCTAAGTATTATTTAATGATGATAAATAATAACATATAAATGTATAAATTTAAAAAAAAAAGAAATCCATGTAATTGAATCCATTGTTTCAAAATCCGATGAATGAAAATTGTTTTTCAATGAAACAAACACTATCGAAATAAGAATATTTTATCTTGAAACTTTAGACACAAGCGGAGTTCGATGAACATTAATTACAAGCAATCACCAGCTCGAGCTCTATCGCCTAAGTTCTGCTGAGATAAAAAGTCAATATAAAGGTCTTTTTGTCATATTAATTCAAGCTAGAAAATAGATCTAATGTTGTACGACTCACTCTATCGTTAGAAAGTCCGATGATTCTTCTCTTCTTCGTAAGATTATGATCATGATTATAAGTACTGTAGTTTATTAGTGACTATCTACATTGTTGACTAGAAATAATGCATTTAACGATAACAGAAAATTTTTGTACAGTTCTCGAAGCCTGTTGCATTGAAAATTAGAGTCATTGTCCTGCTGAGTTTATAAGTAATAGAGTGAAGATTCGAAAAATACGGTCTTTAACTTCTCAATTGATCCAATAGTATATGTATGATATATTATCAATACTTCACAAGTTTTATACTTGAAGACAAAAAAATAAATTTGAAATCATTATGAGAAATATTGAATGTCTGAAAAATTGACAAATTAATAAAAATATCTGATTTGAAATCATTTGGTTCGGTGGAATATCTGGCAGTACGATGGTTCGGCGATTGCCACTGCTTTGTAAATAAAACTAATAAAGATTTCTTTTTGAAAGTATTTCTAATAAATATTTGCACCAAAAAAAATAAAATAAAAATTTTGAAATTGGTAAAGCCGTCAAGCGATGTCAATCGTGACTGTTCAAGTGCTATTTTAATGTTTAGTTAAGCACTCCGATGACTACAACATACTTAGTGAAAAAGAGCATTAATTATTATTTCCATTAGTTAATAATTACTTTAAAAATAAATAAAACTGAGAAATATTCAAACTAAAACAACATTGAAATTGAACTAGAGCAAGGAAATTCAAAATATATATCAATGGAATTTGAATTTTTCTTTGATTTTTAAGATTGCTTTGTTTAATGTTGATAAAGTTGTCTTTTCAGCCTAGAAGATATCGTCAATTAACTCAATTTTAAAAAAGAACGAGTTCAACAGATAATAATATTCAGAGATGGACCAATTTCAATTCCTGACTCGAAATTGGCTGTTGTAGAACTACTAATTTTCTACATATTTACATAGCATTAAAAAATCGGTCCCAATTTTCTCAAGACCAATTCTAAGAATTGCCACTGATGTTATTCGAACATTTATTTTGATTGATAATAAGAATCGTCTAATTTCAATAAAATTCTATTATCATCAATGAGTTTAAATTAAAATCACATGGAGAGAATGAATACAAACTCTTAATCGTATTTCGAATTTTGCTGCAGATTGAGTACATGAAATTTTAATTGAATCAATACGTGATGAATCGAAATTTATTGCAATGATGTTTGTTTGTTTGTTTACAATTTTTGTTTAATAGTCTCACATAATTGGGCCATTTGCTTTGCTTTTTCCAATAAGATTTAAAACAAAAACAAGCAGAATTGTTTTGATTAAAAAGTTTATTATTTATAGATATTATATATATTTTAATAAGGTACAAAAAAAAAAAAAAAACTTTTTCGAAAAATTTAAACAATCTTTTTATCACATGAATTTTATTTACTTCATAATTTCTGTAGAAAAAAAGACAAGGACAATTCACAAAATGGATTAAATGGTAATCAATAACAAGAATCTTAATATGAAATGGGATAACGAAAGAATTAAAGTCAGAGTATCGATATAGTGGAATTTATGTAGACGAAATTCAATTTATAAAAATATCAAAAAATAAAGAAAAACATGTAGTGAACATCAAGTAAATCTCAATTTTATTTTATTTACAATTAATGAGCCTTAAGTAGAATCGAATGAAACACTTTGAATAACTCATGATGATGACTTCAAAATATTAACTGATTGTAATATCTTCGATCAGCTGATATGTGACGTCCCCTTTTCAGTTGACGTATGGTTTTGTATTATATTGATCGTAGCTATTAAACATACAGATAATTAAATCCATTTATCATTTTCACACAATTTATATGATAAAAATGAAGCGGATATGAATCATCTGATAGATCAGTAATGAATGTTTACTTTTTTGCAAATGAGTATCATTTGATATCTCATTATAAACATGCAAATTTATCAAATCAAAGTATTGTTTTTGTCAGACTTATATGTTATTTTATTCATTTTCTTGTTTTCAAGTGGGTTTTTTTGTTCTAGCCAAACTGATATTTTAGCTCAATCAGATTAATATCAAAGATTATCTGATAACAATATATCTTAAAAATAATAACTATTAAAAAAAAATAAACGATCGTCAATATCATTTTTTGAAAAAAAATCTTTTAAACAAATATTTTGATATTTTTTGATTCAGAATTAATGAAAAAAATGAAACAAGAATCTAATGAATGCCATCACATATTCCAATCAACTTCATAGAAAAATACACTTACTATCAGACAAATGTTTACTTTGAGTCTTACAAAATATCATTAGAACAATTCAATAGGATTTTTTAATTAGATTTGTTAGACTATATTGTAATCATTTTAACTCATATCATACTCATTTCAATAAAAATCTGGATTAATATATTGCATTTGAAAAACTATGAGAACAAAATTTTAATTTCTCTTTTCTTAAAATATTACAGACATATTGTGTATGTTCGTGACTAGAAATGAATACAATATAATTATCGATCATTCAATCACAGCTGGAAACATGATTTTATATTGACATGCGAAAAAGAAAGATGATCATTCAATGATAAAAGAAAGATGACCATTGAACATATTTATTTTTATTAGAAATAAGACTGACTGTCACACACAGTAGGCATTCAATTCTTTTCATTGATCACTGCAGGGTCTATAATTGACAAAAACAGACAAACAGACAGATAAATAGATAAGAAAAGCATCGCTTTCTATTGACGATTGATTCATCGGAAAGAAGAAAATGTATGTTTATATGTCTATCTGTCTGTTAGTCAATCAAAACAAATATCTCTTGAAGTTGTTCAAAGATTTCATTCGATTAGTTTTTATTTCACTGAATCTATTTTGATTATATTTTAAAATGAAATGTTCAATCGAGTGTAA